TCCCGTATGCGCGTGCCACCTGCTCTACTGCCACCACCGAGCTGGCCGTGTGCGAGGGGCGCAGTGCATGGCCGTCGTCTGGGGCAGTGCGGGACCCCACGCAGCAGTGGCTGTGTCTGGCGTGACTGTGACGGCCGGAACTCTGGGTAGGCTGCTTGTCGGTGTCGCCGGGGATGCTGCGCGTCAAGGGGCAGCCGGGCGCGGCCGCGTGTCCTGTTCTGCGCGGCTCAGAGCCGCCGAGAGGAGGAGGCGAGAAGGGGACGAGAAGGGGACATAGGCCAAGCGGGATCATCCGGGTCGATCTGCACGGCGTAGGCGTAACATCCCAGCCCCGCCGGCTTCCTCGGGAGGTGGGCGGGACCTGGCGTCTTCCCTGTGGCTGTGGCGGGGTGGTCTGCGGGGCCCCCAGAGGCTGCGGTGGGCGGGGCTTGCTTGGCCTCCCAGTAGCTGTGGTGGGCGGGGCCTGCTTGGGCTGCCAGCGGCAGCAGGGGGCGGGGCCCGCGCGGCTTCCCTGTGGCTGTAACCGGGTGGCCTGCGGGGCCCCCCCGCGGCTGTGGAGGGCGGGGCCCGAGGCTGTCCAGCGGCTGTAGTGGGCGGGACCCCCAAAGGCTGCGGTGGGCGGGGCCTGCGCTCCCTGAGAGTAGCCCCGTCGAAGCTGGCGAGGTGGAGCGGGTCTGGAGCCTGGGTCTGCGCTCCGCTCGGGATGCTGTGGCCCCTTCTCCCTGAGCCCCGGAGCGACCCTTGGGCAGAGACCCACCCTCCTTGGGCTGCTCCTGGGCGTGCGTGCCCCGGCGGGTGCGGGTCCCGCGCTCGTGGGCTGCCTGGGTGCAGGGCCAGCTTTTAGCCCGGGCTGGAGCCTCTGGCTCTGGGGTGCTCGGGTCTCCCGCCCCGGGTGACACGCGCTCCGTCGCCCGAGGCCGACTGGGCTTTGCCTCCGCTGCTCCCACGCCGGTTGGGCCCTGCGGGTGCTGGAGGATGCATCTCCCCGTGACGGGAACGAGCATTTGGGGAGAGGCGGTTGGAAGGCGCCCTGTATGTGCACACTCGACTTTCCTCTTCTTTCTAGGAGGTCCGTGGGGTCGTGGCTGACTACCCCCCCCATAGGTCATGGCTTTCCTTGAGGGCTTCGGTTCTGCCCGTCTTAGCACTGTTTGAAGTTCTAGGCTCCCTCCACGGACAGTGTGGTGAGAGACTGAAGAGGTTGATTTTGATGAACTGGAGATCTTTCTCGCTGAAATTTATTGGATACACAATTTACATATCCAGGACAAGCTAAATTTTAATTTTCATTAAACTGTTTTGGGTAGCCAAGTCTAACAAGAAACCTACTGGTTTGAGTGCTTTACTAAGATCCACAGATTTTAGTGTTGGCTAGACTTTTCTGTATTCAGAACTTTCTGTGTTAGCATGTATTGTTCCTAAAATGTCTTCTTTATTAAAACAATTAAAAACCCAAACCTCATAATTCTCTGCAAGCCTCACCTTACGTGTCAGACGTATTCATTTCAAGTCATAACTGTCCTTAACGAGTTTCCTTGCTGGCAACTTGCCACACAGAAGTCTGGGCCCTGCCACTTTATGCGCCAAACCCATTATTGGCTTCCAAGTATTGGTTAGAGTGCAGGGAGAGTATCAGGCTGGAGGCCCTAAGGACATGGGGCTTTGCTAGTGTTAAAAGGAAACCAGCCCACATAAAGCCTGTGAATTCATTCATTAGCCTTGTTCTGTACTACTGAGCCGTTTGACCACGGTAGGCTTTTGATACACTGACAGTCACTCCAATCTTGGCAATTAGCAGGCAATACAGTGCAGTGACTACACCAGAATCTGGAGCTCTGCTCTGCCCCCAACTTGCTCTGGCAAGCTTCGTGACCTCTGACAAGTCATTCTGCATTCAAGCCTGTTGGCGTAGGGTCACAGAACCCATCTCACAGTCACTGTTGTGAAATCCAAGATAAAATCATGTAAAGTGCTCAGCATAACGCCTGGAAAACAGCAAGCACTCATCACATTTTACCTATAAGCATTTGTGGTAACTTTTTTTGCCATCCCAATAAATCAGTATCTGTTTACTTATTTTGCTTCGTCTCTTGCTTGCTGTGTGACTGCGGGTAAACCACTTAACTTCTGAGTCCTAATTTCCTCACTTATAGAAGGTTGGGCTTAGCCCAGCACCTGCACACAGCACAGGACTCAGCTGTCACAACTTCAGGGCTTAAGGGCCAGAGCCCAAAGCCACATCTGCCAACAGTCACACTATTGATGTGACTTCTCTACCATTTGCCTGGTCCTTTTGAGTATGGGGACCGGAGGAGAAAGGATTCTGACTCTCACATTCCTCAGAATTGCTACAAAAGTGCAATTTAAAAATTTTTTGTTGTTTCTATTCTCAAACCCAAGAGCTCGTTCCCCTTTCACAAGCCCTGTGTGTGGCTAGGCCCTCTTGCGCACTTGATGTCTGTCCACAAGAACTAAGAAGAGAAGCTGGAAGTCAGGGCTTGGTGCCCACTGGCCTGATCCAGACCTGTTATCCCATCCCCATTACTTTTCCCTGCCTGGCAGAAAAAGCTGTTCATGTCAGACCACTTCTCCTTAGAGCACGGTCTAACAGCAGGACCCCAGAAGACAAGGCAAGGCGCTTGGTGGAAGCAGCCCTCCAGCAGTGAGCACACACGAGGGGCAGGAATATGCAGGGGCGAGGAGCACCAGTAGGAGCCAGCGCGGCTGATTCAACTGCCAGGCAGAGGTCACAGGTGGAACTGCTGCATTTCTCCAGCCCCTGCACAGGGTCCACCCTTCCTGCAAAGGGCCAGCTGGGCACGGCTTATGTTCTTACCCACACTCTCACAAGTGGGCCTGGGCGTGGGTAGACCAGGCAGGGAGTTTGCACCTGTCAGCCGCGCAGCTCCTGGATCAGGGTGGATTCTGGAGGCGGCATCCCAGGACTGCAGTCAGGGGTGACTTGCCATCCCAGGCTGAGCCATGCTGGACCCCTTCCCCAAAGGAGTGTCCTCCAGGCTGGCCTCTGGGACTGCTCACCCACTGGCTTGGGAGGCAGACTGCTGAGATGCCTCATCTGGTGCCCAGCCTCAGGCCTTTCTGGAGCAAGGCCGTGTAGTTGCTGTGGATTTTCTACCCACACCACTAGAAAAGCCTCCAGTCTTCCCAGTCTGTCCCAGACCCTTACCAGAGGCAAGAAGGGACCAAATAGGGTGACTATGGAGCTGCAAGGACCTAGGAAAAAACCTACCTGCCCCTTAAAATGAAGGTAACCCCTACCCCACCTGCCTCCAAATTGAGGTTCATAGAGAAGGTAAGTCCATGGAAGGTGCCCTTCAGCTGCTTGTCCCGGGCCACCTGAGTCAAGCCTGTTTTACAGCAGCGTGCCCTCAAATGGTGCTGATGGGGAAGTTACGGGACCACCTGGGTGGGGCAGGCCTTTCTAGTACCTTAACAACTCTCTCCAAAACCACAGCAAAGCCTCAGATGGAGGACGGCTCCTGCTGGGCTGAGCAGCCTACCGAGTCAGTACTCTGGGCCCACTGCAGCCCGCTCTCCTGCCGCACCAGGCGACACTGCGGCAGCCCAGAGACTTTCATCCTGCACCAAGCTGGCCAGGCCTTGAGGGACGGCTGCAGTGAAGGATGACGTGGGCAGGGGCTGGGTACCGTCTGAGAACGCGCGGCAGGGAGTCCACCCAGACGATGACAGATAGGAGAGCGTGCTGCAAAGGGAGCCTCACCGGGGTCTTTGTGAATGCTACTGGAGGAAGAGGGGCCTTCAGGGACAATCTGGCTAAGCCATGCCTACGCATGCTGCTGGGCTGTTTCACCGGGGCTGCCATGGGGAGGGACTGCTGGTGGGGAACCCCTCCTCACAGTGGGCTCATCCCTCCCCTCGGGCCCTGGGGCTCTACCACCACCAATCCCCTACTTCTCTCCACGCCCTGAGCGCCTCCTACACGAGTGGGTTTACCACAGGGACTCTTTTTCATCTGTACTGGAGGTCATTAACCACACCCAGTGCCGCTGCTCCCAGGCTGCACTGCCGGCCGTGGGCATCTCCTCTGGAGGGCAAAGGTTACCGGGGAGCAACCCAGAGGCCCAGTCTTCCTTCTTCCATTCCCTCTCCACCTCCTCTTCCTGTCCGCCCCCACTCACATCAGTGCACACCCTCCTTTCTTGGTCCCCATTCAATCCTGCAGGATACTGAGCCACCTGGTCAGGTGGGCTGCAGGGCTGTGGCAACCCTGGTCCTGTCTGCCTGCTGGGATTCCTTGGAGACCACCTGCTCCCTGGAGACACCACACAACTCACTGTTTTTCAATTGGCCCCACTGCTGGGCTCCGCCCACTTGTGGACCAGTAAGGTTCTGACTAGCGGGAGGCAGGAAAGATGGCAGACACACCAGGCCCTCGGTCAGCCCTCCACCTGGGCTCTTGGACACAGGTAACAAGTGGACAGGTCCTTTGGATCAGGCCCAGGGGTTGAGCCAAACCCTCTTGCAGAAATGAGAAGGTGGCGGCTGCAAACTCCTCTTGGCCTGACCTGCCTCTGCCACCTGCAGGCCCAGGCGACCAACCAGATGGACGAGCACAGCGCGGTGGCCGGTGAGTGCCAGGACTGTGCAACCTGCCACAGAGCAGCCCAGAACAAGCTGTTGCATGCCTACACACAAAAGGCCTCTCTTCCAGGTCCAGGGTGAGCACTTGAGACCTTGGTGCTTCAGGCCCAGGGAAGGAGCCACAAGGACAGCAGGAGAGCCAGGTGCTCAGCGAAGGCCGGGATTCTCGACCTCCCTCCGAGCCTCCCCAACCCTTCCTGTTCAGGTTGCTCCCCAACATGGCCACCCCGGCATCCTGGAAGGGCTGCTCCCAGGGCAGATGGCTCTGTGAGCTGCCCCCCCACCGGTATGGCCAGGGCCATCTTCCAGGACCCGGTGGGGTTGCCCAACCTCAGGATTCTCACCTGAGGACAGAAACAGCCAACAAACAGACCCTCCAGGCTCCCAGTGCAGTCTCTTCTTGTTTATTAAATACCCACTCTTCCTGCCGAGTGCCTAAGGGCCATGTCCCTCTTCTCAAGGCTGCAGTGGACTGTCCAGGAACTTACTGCACGATTAGCTGGTGGACTTGGTACTACTCACAGGATCCCACAGGTGACAGACTACCCCTGTCTTCCTTTTGCCCTTCCTACCCCAACAGCAAGCGCCAGGCCACTCTCTGCCCAGCAAACACCAGGGCTTCACGTGAAGAGCAACTGACCACAGGCTGTAAGGGGAAGAAGAGAAACTGTTTCTGCAGGAAAGACACCAGCAAGGACCAGCTCAGTCCTGGAGTCTTTGGTTGGCAGAGGAAAGGATGCAGGGAGTGTGGCCTGTGCTTCAGGCACCACTGTCATGGGTGGACCCACAGATACAAACACAGGCATCCCAGGACCCAGAGCCACGCAGGCCACAGCCAAGCTTCAACCTGGAAGGGCGGGCAGTTCCCGGAGTCTTCTTGGCGGCAACCTCAGCTGTGGGCCCAGATGGAGTGAGCAAAGGACCCCAACCTCTGCTCTGCTCTGCTCTGGGGCGGCAGTATCCAGGACCTTGTCCCAGGGAAGCTAAAGAAGCCCTGGAAAAGCACTCTGGAGCAGCAGGATAGTCACAGCAATCAACCCGACACACAGCAGGAGCAGCAGCCACACGGGAACACTCCCTGCAGAAGGGACGAGAAGTCAGCCAGGAAGGGCTTCACACCCAAGCCCAGACCCATACCCTACTCTGTTCAAGGAGGCCAGGGTGGCTACAAACAGGCAGCCCACTCTCCAGGAGGCAAATCCTGGCTTCGCTGAGGGTGGGGACACCAATGACTCACGCCTGGAGGGCAGCAGGTGCAGCTGGCAACGGCTATCCACAGCCACCGAGAACAGGGCAGTTTCATGGGACCCGAGCAGCTCTGGACCACGACCCTTCTCAGGCAGAAAGGCCACATCCGTCACCACAATGCCGTGGGTCTCCCTCACGTAGTAGAGGCACTGGGGGCAGAAGGAAAATGAGTGAGGGGGCCTCGTCGGGCGCCCTCCACCCCAGAAGGTGTTCCCTCTTCAGAACTGGCCAGACACCTTCATGCACACTAGCCACTGTTACCTGCAGCGAGAAAGCAATGTAGATGGCGACAGAGCCAGTGACCGTCCCCAGGCCTAGGAATGTGCCCGACTCACTGTAACAAATAGCAAAGTGCCCACTGTCCCGAGGCCTGTGCCGCTCCGTTCACGCACCAACGGCGGGCTGGCACCCGCTCCCTCGCCAAGCCGGCACCCACTCCCTCGCCAAGCCGGCACCCACTCCCTCGCCAAGCCAGCACCATCTCACACCTGACTCCGAGGCAGGAAATGACTTCATGGCCACAGGGCTTGGTCCGCAGGGGCAAGAAGTTGGAGCCATCCCAGGCTGTGAGGTAGCAAGGAGGGGGCTGGCGCAGGCGCTTGTGGGGAATCTGCACCGTGAACAGCCGCAGCCCAGCAGGCTGGTCTGGAACCTGCCCAAACCTGGGGGCGGTGAAGGTTGCTCAGCACCGGGACCTGCCCCCACTCTCCTCAGAGGGGTAACCCTCGGCAAGGCCCACCCCAGCTCCTCCCATGTCCCTGCCCCTCACAACTGGCAGTGTCTCCTTTAGCCGCCCCAGGGTCTTCATACTTGCAGGCCCGGTAGCGGTAAGGTGTGTTGGAAAAAGTGGGTCCGTTCTCTTGCCAATGCAGCTCTGTTACCAACTGGTCCTTCTGCCACACGAAGGCCTTAAGGTCCCGGCCCACAGTTACCAGCTGAACAGGAGCAGAGCCCAAGGATGGATGGTCAGGGGATCCACGTGCTGGGCCAGTGCGTAACCACCCACTCTCTCCTTTCTCCTCTGCCTCCCATCTCCTCACCTTGCCATTACGCCCCAAAACCAGGTCTTCAATCTCCCCTTCGTGGGCCCTGAACTCCAGAACTTTCTCCAGGCTGGGCACCTGCAGCCAAGTCACCACCACGGTTGGCCCGGGGCCACAGCAGGAGCACGGTGACCCCACCCCTCACCTCTTCTCACTCTAAGTCTCCCAGATGCCACACTCGGCTTCTCACAACCTGGTCTTGCTGCCGCCCATCCTCTCTAGCCCGCAAACCCCCACCTTCCAGAGGCGAACGTAGCCGTCTGTCCCTCCAGTGGCAAGCAGGGTACTGTCGTGGTTGAAGCACACGGCCTTCTGCAGCGGGTCGGGGCTGAAGTCTGTCTGCGCCGCCTGCAGATTCTCCACCCTGAGCTCTCCTCCCTCGCACTGGGTTTCGGCTCCGGGCTGTTTCTCTGCTGGAGCGGCCCCCTTCCTCTGTCGAGGCCCCTGCTCCTGGGAGCCTGCGACACAAACAGCTCGCGGGCTCCAGGCCTCCGAGCGAGGACCACCGCTCCCCGCAGCAGGCGCCCACACAGCTTCTCGCCCGCGGCCACAACCCTACTTCGGAGGCCGAGCGCGTGACCGGCCCAACTCCCCTCCCGGCGGGGAGAGAGGACGCGCCTCACCTGACTTCTCAGCCTTGCCGCCGCCCTTCTGCTGAAGGAACTGGAAGCGCAGGAGCTGGCAGCGGGCATCCTGCCCCGCGGCAAGGATGTCGCCCGCCAGCGCCAAGTTCATGGTGGCCCGTGTCTCCGTGTCATGGGAGTGTAGCAGGGAGGCGCTCAGGCGCCCGCCGATCTGCTCCAGCTGCAGGAAGTGCTAGGGGAGGTCGCGGGATGAGCCGGGGGAGCCCGGCGCGGACCCCCGCATCCTGCGGGCCGA